TTTATAAACACACCTATGATAGCTTGCCCTTCGAAAAGTGTTCAAGGCTATTTTTAGTTGTAAATTAATTTTAATCATTTTTTTTTCTTCATTATCTTTCAATAACCGAACAAATTTAGTTTAAACAGTAAGTTTTTAACATGGAGAATATGCCTTGGTAGACTTGCCTACTTATTTCTGATCATGACTATCTGGCAAGCAGGTATGAACAAGTAAGTCAATATAGGTAGGTAACTAGACCGATATGTTAATCAATAAAAATTGGTATCAGAGGAAAGATAATTTAATTACGAAAATAATCGTATAGGCTTGCTTGCAAAAAACCATTCATGAAATATTATTGCCATGCTTTAGTTTTAAAATCCCAGCAATTAATATTTGAATAAAAAAATATTTTTTAAAATATGAAAAGATGATGTCATCTTTCGTCAAACGTGTTTGGTCCTCAACGAATCCAATTGATTTTAAATAATTATTTTCTAAAACCCAACCGCAGTTTTCAAGGCGCAAAAAATAGGTCTCATCTCGTTATCAGATGGGTGAACCTCCCACGGTCTACTATCTCTGTCAGTCCGTAAAAGTTCATAGTTGGGCATGGGCCTCTTTCGTTGTTAAGAGGTTCCATTACGATTTGACGGTACTGCCAGTCGCCGGTTTTACGTCAGGTAAACGAGATGGTTATATCTCCATTTATGGGTTTCTCATGGTCGCCGTTTAGGGTGATGGATATTCTCAAGCCGCCACCACATGGTCAAATGTGGTCATTAAGGTGTTGCATTTCCACATATCTTATATCAGATACGAGGTGGTTATACCGCCATCTGTCGGAGGCCGTGTGATTTTTCTTTCTCAGTCGCCTTTTTTAGGTCATTTTATATAACCACCAAACAGCTGGGCCTTTTACTTAGTAGTACGTAGTCATAATCACATAGGATTGGTGATCGTCGTAGTACCAGATGTTTCGTTCCTTTTGCACCGTTCTTGGTTATTCAAGGTCTGCCATCTACATATAAGAGAGCATGGGGTCTGTCTAACTCTTCTCAGTCTTTTGTAACATTACTCACAAAATTATTATAAATTAGATGAATATTTAATAAAAAGGAAGTCAAAAGGTGTCAATAGGAGCACGTATATGGTAATTCATAATGCTGTATTAGTTCCTATACCTATTGAAAGTTGTTTGTGGCAGAAAAAGCACGAAAGTAGAATAAATGCTGCAGAAATGCGGTCGTTAAGGCGTACGTTAGGGCTGAATCTGAATAACAGGGTGACAAATTGTATGATAAGAGAAAAGTGTGGTTTGCGAGATGATGTTGTGACCAGGAAATGCTTCGGTAGTTTGGTCATGTAGAAATAATAAATGAGGAAAGAGTGGCAAAGCAAATGGCAGAAGTGAATGGCAGAGCTGGCAATGGACGGAAGTTTATCGACCTAATCGGCGATATATTGAAGATGGGCCAAATTAAGAGTACCCTTACTAGCCCACCGCCTAGGTATAGGCACATGGATGTAAAGAAGACGAGAGAAGTGTGTCAGGATCGTGCCAAATAGAAGTCCGTAGTGCCTACCACTATAAGTGAAGGTGTATTTGTTATAAATATGATTATTTAAAACATAAGAAAGCGTGCACATAGGGAGCGTTCGCCTTTTTATACTTATGTAAATAGGTGCTAGTAGTTATTTTATAAAATTGTAACTGTTGGGAGAAAAATAGTTTACTTGTGAGTTTCTTGCCGGTTTTTCTCACAAGTTTTACCGAAATTAGAGACATGTTCCGATGGTGCAGCTTTCTAAACTTTCAGTGCTTTGTAAAGACCAATTTTGAATATTTTTTCTTTGACATTGTCTAGATAAAAGGTCTCAGTTTCTCGTTCTGGTGACTTACAAGAAGTCACAATCCATATTGCAGCCATAACACAACTTGTAAGTCTGCTACCCTGCTACAATGCGTTTAGAAAACTTTACGTATTTCCGAAATAAATATCATTACTTGGAGCATGTGGTTAAATACATATTATTTATAGAATAAGAGTGACAAACGAGCACACAGTTCACCTGATGGTGAGTGGATGCTGTGGCTCATAGATATCTACATCTATCCTCAATTACGAATCAAAGTGCAGATGGGATGTCACACCTGAGAACTAAGATGGAATGCCTGGTATTAAGTAAAAAGGGTCTCCGGATCCATACACTCACCATACGAAACACAGGAGCATTAAGCTGCTATTCTACGCTAGTATTCTGTGAGACCGTGGTCCTCCCGCGGTCGAGCCGACATTTGTGCTAGAACTATGATGAAATATATAATCAGGGATAATCGTGAAAAAAAAAACACAAATTTTTTTCAAATTTATTTTATTATTCCATGTTACAGCACCACCATTAAATACTGTTCAATAATTTTACCAATTCACAAAACATAAATTACAACTCAAATAAAACTGTATAACATTCATAAAATTATTCATGTAAATTTTTGGAAATTGAATATACTTAAATATTTATTGTCTACGATTAGACCCGTCCATAAATAACAATTCAACAGTTTCTCGACAACAACTTCATAATAGGTTTGGGTAAAAATATCAATATATCAAAATATCGATATTTTCTCACAGAATTATCGATATTTATAATCAATATTTTTAATCGCGACATATCAATAATTGATATTTATTAAAGAATGCAATTTTTTCAGTCAATACGTACAGTAATAAAATTTTGACCTTCATCCTACTACATCATGCAAAACATGACGATATATTGATATTTATCACGCGATAATTATCGATACTATTCGATACTGTTTATTAATATCGATACAATCAACATCGATATATTTTTTCACTTGCCCATCCCTACTTCACAACGACTAAAATTAAAAAAATAACAAGCCACAGCATTCACCTACTATTCGACATGTCTTAAATTTAATTTAATTAGCTAAGATCACAAATAACGTTACTGATTAGCAGATCCAAGTCAGTTTCTTTTTGTGACACATGTCATAGACATATAAAAAAAATTCTAAAGGGCACCGGCAGAATATAAGCGCTGTGAGTATTAGACCGCGGCGCAGTGCTGAGTCGGATGCTTATTTGTTGCTGCATCAATGTTTATGTAATATAATATTTTAAAAAATTTGAAGCTACGTTTTTCTTTCCTTCTTTGTTTCAATTTGCCGTGTTAACGGCCTTAGAATCTTGCAACTCCACTTCCCGTGGGTGTCGAAGAAACTATTGCGAGGTGCCAACGTCACATGCTCGCAATGAACCCCGCTTACTAGGAGGAACAATGAAAAGCTACCCACGTTGTAAAGCAAACCCAAAATCCACGGACTGACGACGGGAAGCAGCATTAGAAGTGCAAGAAAATCGATCATGCGGTCTCCAACATCAGCGTATTACATTTAACCACATCTATACATATAATGTCTATTTTCTTTGTATTTTTGAAAAAGCCCAGTTGCGATTCCAACCTGCACCAATAAAATTGTAAATAGCAATTTTAAGTGCTGATTTACCACGTGCTCGGCGGTGAAGCAAAACATCACGAGGAAACCTCTGAAATGCACTGCTAAATGTATAATAATATTTCGAAAATATTTGGAATCCGCCAACACGCATTGGAGCAGCGCTGCGGATATTCCCTTAACGTAAAACCCTCCCAGATATGATCTACGCCCAGCAGTGGAACGTATATAGGCTGCATGTACCTTTACTTTTAAGATTATTATACCGAGAAGATATCTTTATGAAATCACACCACCCATTAGTATTAGTACTGTTACATATGTATACAGTTTCTCTAATTCTCTTTGAGAAATGACTATGGTATGGCTTGCTAAAAATTAAAAATCTATTTTGTGGATTGGAGGAATTGCTTTGCTAAATTGCGTGTAAATGTGTTTAAAATTATATGAACCATTTTAACATTGTTTAACCGTCTAGTTTGTCCTTAGTATATTATGGTGGAAAGTAAAATTTCAAACTGGTAACTTCATCTTATATATAATATACATTTTATATAATTTTAAATTAAGAAATGTGTTAGAATTGACGCTACTTCAAAAGAGGTGATTTTTTTAAACTTTTCTAATGTAAAGATGAAGAAAAACGACTGAGCGATCGTTTAATCACTATTACTGAACAGTAAAATCACATGAGATATCTCCTGCTTTTCATTCATTAAAAATTAACATTAAAGATATTTAACTAAAAAAATAACCATTTCGCTGTCCCGTGCACTACATATACATAGGTAATTGCTATTGTGTTACTATTGTGTCTGCAAACCGGACACTTAGTCCTTCTTTTTGCGTCAAATTATAATAAAATACTCCAAATACCCCTATAGTTTTGTATAACATTTCTAACGAGCAAACCATTCGTAAATGCAATGGAACTAAAAGCTACTGTTCGTTCACGGGTTTGCAGGGGTCCGCAAACTTTAGGTACATCACATTATAGATTCATCAGTCAAAAAACTACGTAATACGTACTGCGTCAGTTTTGTCAGCTATTAATCGTATCGTACAAATATTTCAGTACCAGGCGAACAGGCCCTACATAGTGTTGGGCACAGATCGAGCTGTTTCCGTCAGTTACGTATCGGTATCAGTTACGTGTTTCGGTATAAGGCGAGCAAACAATACATGGAATGCGTTGGTCAGATCAAGGTGCACTCCGCGATCTCTCAGTTAGCTCGTAATGTGTCGGAGAACGGTACCAGGCGAGCAGAGGCTACATAAAATTGGGCACAGATCGAGCTGCGTCCCGTCAGTTAGGTCATACAATGTATCAATGTGTTGGAAGACGGTACCAGGCAAGCAGAGGCTACAGGCAGTGCGTTGAGTATAGATCGAGCTGCGCCCTGTGTATCATCAGTAAGTCGTACAATGTGACGAGTGACAGTACCAGGCGAGCAGAGCGGGTTCTACTACGGTCACCGTCAGTTAGATGGTACAATGAATCGAACGGTACCAGGCGAGCAGAGCGCTACTGCGGGCAGGCTGCGGGCTGCGTGAAGAGGCGCGTGTAGTTGACGAGCAGGAAGAGCAGCAGCGAGCCGGTGGCGGAGCCGGCCTGCGTGACGGCGCCGCACAGACGCATGCCGCGGGCGCCGCCGCGCCGCGCCCACCCGTACACCCACATGCGCGCGTACGACACGCCCGCGGACGTCACCACCCACGACACCACCTGCCAAATCCCACCATCTTTAACACGAACCGTACTTCTCGTGGTAGAGCCAAGCTGCAGTTATAATTGAAGCACGAATGAATCGGCTCGACCAGGGTAGTACCACACTTTCGCAGAATGGCAGCTTAATGCTGCTGTATTTCGTATGGTGAGTGTAGAAAACCGGAGACCCTTTATACTGGAAACGAAGGTATTCCATCTTAGTCCTCATGGGTGACAATGCATTTGCATTTTGATTCCTAATTGAGTATACATGGTAGATTTCTATGGGCCACGTAGGGTCTAAGTAGGGTCCAATTAATAGACAATTCCCTGTCGATATTTCACTATATGTAATATTATGTAATATGTATTCTGTGGTTTCACGTGAAGTAGGTAACAATAATTTTAATGATGAATGCATTTAGTTATCGACAACAAATGACCACAAAAAATAACGTCATTTGTATAATAATAGATAAGCGTTTTTGTTCTGCTAATTTCAGACCCGACTAAGGAAACATAAATGTTCAATATGCTTTTGTTTTAAATGTTAATTTGTTTTACGAAGTATCAATTATTAAATAACCAAAAATAAATATTACTTGTTAATTGATTTATATCCCTATTTAATCTTCACTCTTCAGTTACTATTCATTACATAATTCAATTGATTTTAATATACTAATCGATTCTTTCCAATAACTAAAAATTTTCGTTATAAGCACCGCTTTCGCTTTACATACTGTGTATGCTGACAGTAATTTTTAATTTTACCATTTATTGGATAACTTCTTTCTTCACAGTTCACCACTGAATTAGGAGAGTTTCGCTATTGTCGATACGCTTTGAACGGTATAAACCTTTGACACTGAATTTCCGCTATTTCTAATCACATTCTTTATCCGCACGAGTAGCACCCCTCGCGATATAGCTAGACGTCCAGTGTGCAGTGTCAATAAACTACGTCCGCTGGGGACCGAAAGCACTAGTAGACGCCTAGCATATCAAAACAGCAGTGCAAGACACAGCAGTGTAAAGGCGCGTCTCCACCAAAAATGTTGACAACATTTATGTTTCCAACTGTTGACAAATCAACAAAAGTTGACGACATTTGTTTCCGAAAATGTTTCAAAATGTTGCAAGAAGCGTCTCCACCGAGGGGACAAATGTCGGCAACGAGCGTATTCCTTTGATGTTGCCGCCGAAAATGGAAACACGATTTCCGACATTGTTTCGTTTTGTTGCTAAAACAAGGTGATTACAGAAACATTTGTCGGCAACACGTGTTGACAAATGTTGTGTTGACAACAAAACTTTGGTGGAGACGCGCCATAAGGTACTGACATTCGAGACAATAACATATTTTCTACGACGGACTCAATGCGCACTAAGTTACGGTCAATTCTCCGTAAGTTCTTCAGTCGACTGCGAGGGACCGAGAAGACTGGTTCTTTGTTTTGTTAGCCGCGAACGTTGTTTTCGGCAATCAACACTGATGTTGTTAAATATGACTAAGAAAACGCTGTCATTATTTATGTGCGCAATTTGCCAACGTAACATGAAGTTTATTTTAAATAAGTATGTAAGTTTATTTCGCCTGAAAAGAGTAACTGTTGTAAATGAAAATACAACTGCGTGCCAGCTACCCACCCAGCCAGCGCCCGCGCGATACGCAGCTGTGACACAAGCTTTTGTTTTGAATTGCCGGTCCAGTAGTATATTGCAACAGTGCAACCAATATTGCATTTTGCAGATTAGATCACGAGGTCCATTTTGAAGAGAACCAATATAATTAGACTATGAGACTTTCCATCTTAGTCGTCAATGCTGACTCGCTCGTGGCATTTATTATCATGTCAACCGCTAAGAGCTAACTTGTTACTTTTCAACCGACTTCAAAAAAGAAGAGGGTCTCAATTCGTCAGAATCTTTTTTTATGTATCATCATTACAGCCCTTCACAAGTCCACTGCTGAACATAGGCCTCCCCTAAAGAATGCCACAAAGCATTTATGTATATTTTTATGTGTATTCACCGATTATTCGAAGACGTCTGAACCAATTTGGATTTTTTTTTGTTTCATAGGTTTCTTCCCATATAAATTTGATCAAGGTTTGACCTGTTGTTTTTGAGTTATCCTTAATAATTTATATTGAAGTCGGTTGTACAAAATTTTTAATTTTACCATTTGTTGGATAACTTCTCTCTTCGCAGTTCACCACTGAATACGACTTAAAGAATTAGGAGAGTTTTGCTATTGTCGATACGCTTTGAACGGTATACTACTCTGTGTAAAAAGTATCGGGAATATGTCAATAAAAAGACCCGCGTAAAAGAGGTCGTTCTAATTTTTTTACTGCATGTTGGTAGCACTGTACTGATTTAGCGCGCAAAGTTTGAGCAGGATCTGTCATTTAATTTGTTTTAAACTACACTTTTTGTTGGTCATAGTTTTGAGTTCTCGGCGATTTTTACAATGGAAAATATTGTTGAACAAAGAGTGTGCCTTAAATTTTGTGTTTCGAATGATATTTCATGTGGTGAATCACTAAAAATGTTGCGAAATACCTACGGCGAATCGTGTATATCGAAAACAAGGGCTTATGAATGGTATAAGGCTTTTAAAGAAGGCCGAGAAGTAGTAGTAGACTTGCCTCGTTCTGGTAGACCTTCAACCGCTACGACCAAAGAAAACATCGACAAAATCAAGAAGCTAGTGCTCGAAAATCGACCTATGAGTCTGAGAGAGTTGGCTAGTGAGGTGAACATATCTTTTAAGTCCGTCCACAACATTCTCATTGACATTTTAGGCATGAAACGCGTCGCCGCTCGACTAGTTCCAAAAGAGCTCAATTTTGTTCAAAGAGCGCAGCGAAAGCATGTCGCTGAAGACATGGTTTCCCGAGTTTCTACGGATCCGACCTTTATGAAACGTATAATAACTGGCGATGAGACATGGGTTTATGAGTACGACATGCAAACAAGCCAACAGTCTTCAGAATGGCGTCTCGAAAACGAGCCGAAACCCAAAAAACCGCGGCAAAGTCGCTCCAAAATCAAGGTGATGCTGACAGTTTTTTTTTGACTACTGTGGTGTGGTTCACTCCGAATTCCTTCCAAAGGGAGAAACGGTGAATAAAGAATATTATTTAGGCGTCATGAAGCGTTTGCGTGAGAGTATCCGCCGAAAACGTCCAGATTTGTGGCAACACAACTCATGGATGCTGCACCATGATAATGCACCATCACACACAGCCATTATAGTGAAAGAGTTTTTAGCGAAAAATTCAACAAAAGTTCTCGACCAAGCACCGTATTCACCTGATATGGCTCCGTCTGACTTTTTTTTATTTCCCAAGTTAAAATTACCACTTCGAGGAAAACGTTTTGAGTCGATAGAAGCCATAAAAAAAATTCGCTGAATGAGCTAAAGGCTACCGCAAATAGCCTATGAAAAATTTATGGAAGACTGGGTGAAGCGTTGGAGATGTTATATTGCAAGCGATGGGGCCTACTTTGAAGGCGATAAAATAAATTTAGATGAATAATTTGTATTTTTTGTTTTATTGACAAATTCCCGATATTTAGTACACAGAATGTAAACCTTTGACACTGTTCTGTGTCGCCAGTTTGGGTAATTTACAACCTATATAAAGATGATGACTTCATCCATCTATGAGCCTATGAGATTTTTCCAGCAATTTCTATCACACTGTCGTCATCGTGACTTTTTTCAAATCATGATTTGTCGGATCAGTTTGAAATTACCTTATTTTCTGCCGACTTCCAAAAAGGAGACGGTACTCATTTCGACTGTATGTTTTTTTTTATGTGTGTTACCCCATAATTTTTTACTGGGTGAACTGATTTCGATGATTCTTTTTTGTTTGAAAGCTGGTACTTCTCGTGTGATCCCATATGAATTTGATCAAGGTCAGACTAATAGTTTTTGAGTTATTCTTAATAACTTATATTGAAGTCGGCTGCACAAAATGTTTAATTTTAAATTATTATTTTAATAAAATAAAACTTCGTCTTGCACACTTTATTTTGATACGGTGACTAAAAGGCTCGTGGGATAATTACCAAGCACGAAAAGAGAATGAAAAACTATCAGAAGTTTAGAAGACAAATGCATAGGGAGCGGCGGATCGGAAGATAACATTAAATTAATCAATAGCAAAGTTTATAAAAACGTACGAAGTTACCTAATAAGGTAAGCAAATTATATCTGGACAATGAAGCGTCGAACTGTACTGTATAATATACAGTACAGTTATTCAGTTTAATAATAATGAAAAAAGATTATAATTAATATTAAATACTGCACAACAAAGCCATCGCGTGTATGTAAATTACCAGATTAAATTTAAGATTACGGTTGTCAGACACCGACCCGCAAATATTCATATAAGTATATTAAATATGGTATAATACAAGACAGTTTCGTGGTAGAGCCATGCTGCAGCTATATTATAGTCGTTACGCTCTCACAAAATACCAGCGTAAAATAGCAGCTAAATGCTGCTGCGTTTCGTATGGTGAGTGTATAAAAGTAGAGATCCTTTTTACTGGAAACGAGGCATTCCATCTTAGTCCTCAGGGGTGACAACCCATGTATGCAATATCCATACATCCTCAAAACTTTCACATTTATAATATTATAAGTAGGATAGTTGGGTGTATTCTGTGGTTTCACGTGAAGTAGGTCACAATAATTTTAATGATGAATGCATGTAGTTATCGACAACAACTGTGCAAGCAATTCTACACACGTTGACATGTATGTAATATGTACGATTCGATGTCTTATGAATACAACATTGGTTTTCTACTAAAGACGAACTTATAATGTGTCAAGCGACTTATTACAGTACAGCTCGTAATGGGTTTGTAATATGTAATTTAGTTTGTAATTGTATAAAACTAATTTACGTGTCATATGGCGTTTAGTTATAACTTATTTACGACTGAGAAGCCACTTTGAATAAATAAACATCAATCAGATTTCGAGTAAATGCAACATGAAAAAATTATTAATGAATTATTAAATTTTTAGATACAATTTTATACATATAGGGTCAATTCAAAATCATCAGGGTACAATTTTATATAGGGTCGGCTCGACCGGAGAAGGACCAGGCTCTCACAGAATACCAGGATAAAATAGCAGAAAAATTCTGTTGTATTTAGTATAGTTAATGTACAGAATCGGAGATCCTTTTCACTGGAAACGAGGCATTTCGTATTAGTGCTCAGGGGTGACAATGCATCTGCATTTTGATTCATAATCGAGGATAGTCGTAGATGTCTATAGGCCACAGCATCCACTGAACATCAGATGGCTGTGTGCTCGTTTGTAACCCTTATTCTATAAATCAAGCTATAGAAAAAATAGAACAAAGTGACTTACGATGAGTAGCACACCTCCAGTCGCGTGCTGCAGCGGCGGTTCTGGGCTCAGCAGCGCCGTGGCCAGGATGTACGCCAGAGGCAGCGTCAGCGCGGACAGCAGAGCACACAGCGCGCGTACTGACAACGGCCGCAGCCATACACCCGCCAAGCACGCCGCTGGGTTCGCCATAGCGCCCAGTGACACCGCCAAGTGGTACGCGCGCACTCCGTACGGCATGCACGAGTACGACTGCACAGATGGCAGCACGCCGTTCGATAGCGCGTTCAAACACGCCATCAGCGATAGTACCACTAACCATCTGCCCGCCACCAATGATTCTTTCGGCGCAGTCGCCTCATCGTCCTTCTCCAGCGACGCCTGCGCCACCCGCTCCGAATCGAACGCTCGAAGATTGTGCACGGACGTGAAACTGACGAGACTGAGCGCGGACAATCCGCCTAACACCAGTAGGAACGCGAGCGTGTCGAATCGCGGCGGAGGATACAGTGCCACCAAAGTAGAATTGTCCGCAGACGGTACGCACTCGGGCTCGCCGCCCACACCCTGGATAAGCGCGAGCACGCTCGGTATGAACCCGCTCAGACCCTCCCCCACTAGATACGTCGCGAGATACACGTCGCGGAAGTGTCTCAAGTACGGATAGAACAGCACTGAACTGGTGCAGCCGACCAGCGCCGCGAAGAACGTCAACGTTAGGAACGCTACAGAGCGATCCGTGCCGCCGACCGGCGCGGTCGCGGTGTGGAGGAAAGCGTTGAGAGTGAGCGCCAGGGTGCCGATAGATAGCAGTCCGTAGATGTAAATTGCGTCCGAAACACGCGGGCACAGGCGACGCAACACTGCGTACAAGACAAGGCCAACGTTGGCCAGTTGCACCGCCAACGCCATGGAGGAAGGCAGCGTCCAGCCCTCCGGCAACCTCTCCACCAGCAATGGCAGCTGTACATATAGTCCGTTGACCCCGAGCCAGGTGCCTAGGCCCCAGCACGCCAGCAGAACGTCGAGTGCGACGCGTCGTTGTGACCCCAACATCTTGACAACACCTTCGCCTCCCCCCAGACACGGTGCACGCTCTTTTTCACCGTTCAATCTGTGGAAAAGGAATTTGTCAAACCTTTTACAAAACAGTGCAAGGCCACAGAATGACGACGAGCAAATGACACAAAATTACCACGTCGCGCCGCTCTGCCACGTGCGTCTGTGACGAAGCGAACTGTTTATATGTTCTTTGTAAAAACCACTGACACTACCTAACCTAGTAAATGATTCATTAATATGTATCATTTATAATAAAGTATCGTCAAAAAAAATGCACAAGTAGCATGAATATACTAATGTCGGTCACATCTGTGTATTCTTTGATAGATCAAAAGTTATTGATTGATGAGTGAGAGATTATTTTTCACAGATATCCTATCAATTTCACAATGTAGCTATAAATTTGTATTATAATGCAAAGAAATGATTCAAAAATTACTTTCATTAGGAAATTGAAATGATGATAAATCATAATCAAGGATTTCTATAGAATAAATTACAAATGACATGAAAGATCATTGTTATCTTCGTTATCGACTATAGCAGTCTGTAATTGGTTTTGGCCTATGTTATTTTAATATTATAAATGTTCACAAATATTATTAAAATTAAGCTAGTATATGATATTAATATACTACAAAAAAGGTCTCCAAAATTTTTGCTCTGGGTTAGGTACTTATTTCTGCCAACAAATAGCAGTGCTCGCTAGAGATGAAGCGTATATACTAGAATAGATCCAGGTACTAGGTATTAAACGAGACTAGGTTGCACCTGTTCCATCTTTTAAAAGACTTGATCCACCTAGTCTCACTGTGCCTCCGCGTCTCACGGCACTGGCGCGGTGGCCTGCTTGAATCGAACAAGTACCGGCGCGGCGAAGCGAGATAGCATTTTGTTACCGTAGTTACTAGTTTGCTTTGCCGCTCACTCTGGTGTTGCCTAAATCATTCATGTGTCAGTCATTTGAATTTGTATTTCAATGGTTATAAAAGTAACGCGATGCGCACTCTTGTTGTCTAACAATATATTCTGTCCTTTTTTAACTACACTAATCCGCAGTCTTTCTATCTTTGTCTGTCAATACTCGAGACTAGAAGGGACTAGTCCCGGGGACTTCTTACCAAATACTAGGCAGATTTTATACACTAGTTACTTGTAAATACTCAATGCGAATGGAGATTGGAGACCATATGATGCAGTCAAGTGTCTAGTACGGACTCATGCAAATGTGATCTCGGCACCGTATTGATACCTACTAGACTTATTTAGCTACAGGTTTTCGTAACGTTTTGTTATGTGGTTAAAGAACTTTCGATTCGTTTTTTATTTAGACATTAGACATTAGTGTTTATTGTTTAAAAAAAAATGGCTTCCAAAGGAAGCAGTGTCGCTTGGGATCATTTTACGGACAAAAGCCAAAAAATGGCTGAGTTTGAAATTTTTGTAAAATACAACTTAGTTTTTAAAATACTTAAGACTGATTTTTTGCGTGTATATAAAAACAATGATTGTAGACAGGTAATTAAAAAAAGGAAACAAAAATAATTAAAAAATAAACGAAAAAAAAAGACTAAAATCAAATTTCTCTCAAATAAAATTAATTGAAACCTTATACTTACGCCAACAATCTAGAACGTAGATATATATTAACGTTGACAGTCCTAAGCCTTTGTAAAGTGTGAATGGATGATTGATTACTATTCATTATCTTCACGTATCGGCTGTACGTAAAGACTAAGCATACTTTAATGTGTAAGCTATTCCAACAATACCAAACTTTATGCGTACATCATGGACTAGGTGGAACAGGTATGTGGATCGAGTATTTGTAAGGAATTGGACTAAGTGCACCTAGTACAAAATTTACCTAGTACGACTCATCTCTAGTGCTTGCACGGTAACAACGCAACTTTAGCTTTCTCTGATTGAAGTTGGCTGCAGGTGTCTATGGACTGCAGTGACTGTTTACCATCCAGTGATTTGTAAGTTCGTTAGTCGTTGTCATTTCTGTTTCATAATAAAAATGATGTGCAGGTTGTTTCAATAAGTAAAAGTTGAAATGAAATAAAACAAGCTGTGTGTGAGGTATTAAAAAAAATATTTTTTTATTTCAAAGGCCCACATGTGCCATTAAGTGTGCAATATGACATCGTTCAAATGCCCGCCTCGGCTTCTTACAGAGGCAAGGATTCGAGCGATCCAATTTTCAATAACTCTTCTGCATAGATCCGGCTAAATTTGAGCGATGGCCTGTGTTATGTTCACCTTTAGGGCATCGGTCGACTGTGGTTTATTTGCATAGACCTGCGACTTCAAGAAACCTCACAAGAAAATGTCTAGCGGGATCAAATCACATGACCTTGGTGGCCAATTCACAAACACCCCTGCGAAAGATAAGCTTACCCTTATATCACTCATGGAGAATGTCAATTGTGACGTCTGTTGTGTGGCACGTAACGCTGTGCTGCTGGTACCACGTATAGTCTAGGTTCATATGGTTCAATTTGGGTCATAATAAGAAGTTGGTTATCATAGTTCTGTAGCACTCGCCGTTGACAGTGACTGCCTCACCAAAGTCGTTTTCGAAAAAGTACGGACCAATGACGCCGCCGGCCCAAAATCCACACCAAACGGTAACTTTTTGAGGATGCATTATCACCTGGTGAACTTCGCGTGGGTTACTAGGAACAGACAAAAGCTAGTAGTACCAGTTACTCGAATCCACCGAGTCAGTAATTCATTCTTGGGGCGATGTATACGCTTTTACAACAAAATCTCGAAAAATATACAAAATTAGACCTGCTCAAAGTTCAAAACCTTTACTAAACAAATTTTGTATAAAAAGGGTTATTATAATATTAAGGAATTTATGGATGATAATAACCCCTGGGAATGAGGTGATCGCTACCAAGCTATTTCTAATTTGTTGTGTTGTTAATTTGTGTAACATACAAGATTGTAAGCTGTTATTTAAAAAAATAGTCCCGCTGAGTTTCTTGCTGGTTCTTCCCAGGACAGAGGTGTTTTTGCGAACCAGTAGTAATTAAACAAAAGAGTGACTTTCAATAAGTACGAGGGTGGATTGAAAAGTACTCGGCCTAACACAGATCCATTCAATTCTAAAAATCAAATCTACCCACATTATTTAGTTCAGTTCAGACTAGTTCATTGTGTGAAGTTCGAAACGTGTGCGATAATTAGTTGTGATTTTATAAATTTATTAACAAAGTAATCGGACATAATTTCCGCGAATGGAGCAAATCGAGCAGCGTGCCGTCATTAAGTACCTCCATAAAAAGGGGCAATCATCAAAAGCCATCCATGATGACATGGTCAGTACATTAGGCGATTGTGCTCTGTCATATTACATACATACATACATATAATCACGCCTCTTTCCCGTGGGGGTAGGCAGAGACCAGTTCTTTCCACTTGCTACGATCCTTGCATACTTGTTTTGCTTCGTCCACTTTCATTATTCCCTTCATACATTCTCTACGGTTTAGGGTACTCTTTACCTGGCCTTTTTTCAAGACGTCCCTGATTTGGTCTAGAAATGTCCGCCTAGGTCTACCCCTTCCAACACTTTCATTCACACTCGCCTTATACACTTTTTTCGTCAATCGTTCTTCATTCATTCTCTCGACATGGCCAAACCATCTCAGCATACCTTTCTCAATTTTTGTCACTACATCTTCTTTCAGACCACAACGTTTCCTTATCTCACTATTTCTTAGCCTGTCACTTAGTTTAACTCCTATCATACTTCTTAATGCTCTCATCTCAACTGCATTTATTCTGCTTTCATGTTTCTTCTGCCGTACCCCAGTTTCACTTCCGTACATGAGTGTCGGAACCAACACCCCCTCATGCACAGCCAAACGAGCCTTGTTAGACACCTTCCGACTGCTCATAAAAGAGTGCAAAGCTCCATTCACCATGTTTCCTGCATTCACTCTTCTTTCGATATCACTCTCACACTTTCCATCTCTTCATCATCATCATCATCATCATTACAGCCCTTCACAAGTCCACTGCTGAACATAGGCCTCCCCCAAAGAATGCCACAAAACACGGTCCTGAGCCACCTGCATCCATCGACTTCCTGCATGTCTTACCAGGTCGTCACTCCATCTCGTGGGGGGACGCCCTACACTTCGCCTACCGGTACGAGGCTGCCACTCGAGAACCTTTCTTCCCCATCGGTTGTCGGTTCTTCGAGCTATATGGCCGGCCCACTGCCACTTCAGCTTACTAATCCGTTGGGCTATGTCGGTCACTCTGGTTCTACTGCGGATATCCTCATTCCTAAGTTTATCACGCAGAGAAACTCCGAGCATAGCCCTCTCCATAGCTCGCTGAGCGACCTTGAGCTTCCTCATACGGCCAGCAGTGAAGGACCACGTCTCAGTTCCGTAAGTCATCACTGGCAACACGCACTGGTTGTACAATTTCGTTTTAAGGTTTTGAGGTATGTCTGACGAGAGTCCATCTCTTGTAAACTTTGAACCCAGATACACAAACTCTTTCACCTGTTCAATTTGTTCATCTTCAATCACAATGTTGCAGTCTGTCACTGCCTCATCTTTTTCAAACACCATCACTTTCGTCTTCCTTACATTCATCTTCATTCCCTTTCTAACAAAAGCTCCACTCATTGCAGTTACCATCTCCTGCAACTCCTCGGCCGAAGACGCAAGTAATACTTGGTCATCAGCATAGAGAAAACATTTGACGAGTAACTCATTCATTCTCAACCCACTTTCATTCTCTTTTAAATCTATCAAACAATTGTCCATGAACAGATTAAACAGCCACGGTGACGCTACACATCCCTGTCTAACACCTTTTTCGATATTAAACCATTCAGTGTATGCCCCGTTTATCCTTACACAAGCACTAGAATCCCTATAAAGAGATTGCATTGCTCGTATGAGGATACTGCTCACACCGTTCACGGACAGTGCTGACCACAATTCATTCCTCACCACTCT